CACACCCATCTACACACTCACCCTTTCCTCAACCTCTCTTCATGTTTCTTTTTTGCTCTCTTGCCTTCTCTTCTCTCTCTCTCTCTCTCTTCTTCTCCTTAGGGGCCGCAGGGTATAAGTGTACACAGAGGCTCTTCAGCTTTCTTTTGGAAGGAATGACACATGGAGTAGCTTTTTTTGGGGATTTTTTAGATAGCAGGAAGGAGCAGACTTAGCAGGCTGTAATAGCCCTTTTTTCAGCATCTAAAAAGGGCCCCGTCAGTATAACCAATGAGATGCATTCTTCTTTTGATGCAGGAAGCACTTATTGAGAAGACCTCCTCAGTGCTCTGAAGGACAGGCTACAGCAGCTTGCGCCTAATGAAGTTATTTTTTATCACTGGGGCCTTCCTGTTTTGAACTTTGTGTGTTGTTCTCTAGTGGGTGATGAGTTGGTCGTTTGTGTGCAAGAACACTTGATTGACTCTCTAGCTGACTTCTCTCTCACTCTTCACTGTCTTTTTTGTAAGACAAGCCAGGTCTCCTGCGTGATATTTCATGAAATGTTTGACTTTGTGTTTTATTGTCACGTTTCATTGCTAGCGAATTATGTTTTCAACTTTTTATTTTTTCTGGCAAGGTTTTATTGCGTTAGGACAAGCACCTCGTAGAATCTAAAACACAAAGCAAAATATGATTCATTTCAGCTCGTGTAGTCTCACCACACCCTTTTCCTCCCCGTCCATCTCTCATTACACACCGCCTCAACTCTCTGTCTCTTGAGTTCGTCCCCACAGTGTTTTTTTTAGGCTTTACTCTGTTCAAGCGCTTTGAATGGGCATACAAGGAAATTCCAGAGGGTGTCTGTGCTCTTTGATTTTCCGTTTCACTTTTGAAGTTTCCCAGCTCGCCACAGTGAACAGGGGCCAGCAAAGCAGACTGTGTGAGGCTTTGTTTGCCTGCCAGGACTATGAAGTTCTGGAAGTTTGGTGGGGGGGGGTTAGCGGGTAGACAGTATTGACAGGCAAGGCTACGTGTTGTCTAAGTTGCGGGCACTTTGTTTTTAGCTTTTGTAGTCAGATTGCTACAAGAAAGCAGCTAGAGACATATTGTGTGCAGGTTTTCTCCCTCAGTGATCGCTTTTTGATGGCACGAAAACAGTGGACGAAGGATTAGGCGGGTTGGGGTGGGAACAAGTCCACCCCCCTTATACACCACACAACTCATATGTTTTAGAGGGGGATCTTTTCACTTGTGGGGGGACAAGATGTGGAGGACTGAAATTACTTCTTTGACTTGTTTTTCTGTCTGTGCATGAATTTGTTTTAAAATAACAGTGACTTTTGGCTTGCTTAGAAAACCTGAAAAGGGGCTTTTGGCAGGATACATCTGTAAAGCCTTAAAAAATAAAAGGGGGACACCTAAATGACTTTATAGAGCCATGTGGAGAGGCCTTTTGGCACAAGGTGTTCCAGTGTTGGTGTACGGGGTAGGTCGTTCTTCGTTGGATCTCATCAGAAGGGCCAAAGGGGGTCGGAGGCCAGAAAGAAGGTAATTCAAGTTTGGTGGGATTTAAGAAGAAATAAAACACCTTTTTTACCCCACTTTTTTTTTTTTTTGTTCCCCCCAAAAAGTTACACTTACAGGAATAGCTTTTTTGTGGGAACAGCTTCCTGGCTGCCAGTCAGTCACATTATTACAACATACTCACTATCTGTTTTATGACCAGGTCTCTCTGTGTTTCTCAGTATCTGACACGTGCGGGATTGCATGCCTCAGGACACAGCTGGGAGGATACACCTCAGCTTTGGCAATGTCATATGAGCTATTCAGGAGTGCTTTCGGTGGGCTGGTTCCCTCAGAAAGGACTGAACGCATCCACAGCTCAAAGAGCAAAAGCATTGGTTAGAAATGTGATAAACGGATATTAATAACCGCACAGCTGCACCATGGGGAGAGGGAAAAGTGCTTGTGGTGGAAAGCGCTTTAACTGATTTTTTGGTCAGGTCTTTTTATATTTTGTGTTATTTTTTTATATTTAAATAAAATCACAATGAAACAGCAGAGAATCTGGCCCGTTATCTTGCTATAGATTTTTTAAAAGTGAAAAAAAAAAGGTATGATGTTCTAGAATACATTCTTTGTTGTGTGAACAAAATGGAAGTAATTTACCGTTAAAGTCGGGTTATCGATTTTTTTCTTATGAGTAATGAATGCAGAGCCAACGGCTTGCTAATAAAAGCATCAGTAAAACGGTCTTCAAAAAAAACATTTTCTCAACTTCAAAAATTTCCTTTTGATTCGCTCATAAATTGACGGGTCAAATATGACAACTACATCGAATCCGTTAGCTTCTTCACACTTCTTGTTCTCTTTTGGGGCCGGTTTTCTTTCTGAAGGCTCTGTGCGAAAAACAAAAAATTCTGTTTAGAATTGAATTAAGTGGTAAAACTTTATTTTATCCACCAAGTTGGAAAATAGTTTCTTTGAGCCATCTTGCAGTAAATCACAGAATATACGAACAACACTGACGGTGAAGACTATTTTCTCGATATGTGATTAGGTCTCTGATTTTTTATCGCTAAAAACTTATTGTAGTAAAATGTCAGACCGTTTAAGATCCCATCGCTGAAAGTGTCCCTGAACACTTGGCCATTGCTATTAGACAATTTACTTTACATTTAAAGTACATTTATTTATTTATTATTTATAATTTTTGGTGATGTGCACACGATGTACTTTAATGAACTTCTAGGGAATTGATCGGATCGACTTTGGGTCGACTGACATCTCGCCATGGAACAGGAAGTTGTCATAACAGCCGATCATCACTGCTTGCAGTTTTAATTTCATTTAATTTTCTTACACGCCTTGAAATCAGGAAGGGCCCGCGACCCCCTGTAAAGCTTTGGCGACCGCTAGTGGGGGTCCCGACCCACAGGTTGCAGACCACTGCTGTAAGGCACACTAGAGTTGTAAACAGGGAATGTTAAGTTTCCACTGTAATTCAGTTTCTACTGTTGCGAAAGAGCTCCCAATTTATTACTAAGTTCCTCACTGTTGTATGAGTTAACTCTTACCAGTCTGTTCGTGATCACTGCTGAAGAGGACCTCTTTAGGGAGTGTGAATCTCACACACATCATATCTCTGTTGGGTGCTACATTACGCACAAAATGCACAGAACACCGGTTCTCCAAAGGGAATCCGAGGCTGCGGGAAGCCAACTTCACCACGTCCGTCTCAGGGTCGCCTTTTTTAGAGAAACCGTAGCAGTGCACTGTGGGTAGGTTCTCCTCACAGGAAGGCTCCTGGTGCAACAGACCTCTGAATGCATCCAGGAACTCCAGAGCCAAGGCAGGCAGGTTCATCACAATGTGAACAGCGTTTTTTTCCTTCAGCAGCGCAGGCAGCTCCTGCTTCACAGGTCCCTGGATGAACGCTCTGCCGTCCAGGTTAAAGGTTCTGACTTTTTTCTCCACCTTGCCGAGTTTGCAGTTGTGCTGTAGCCATCGGTAGGACTCGGGGTTGAGATCGTTGGCCAGCACGTTGGCACCCAAGCGGGCTGCTGGGATGGCGAAGGGTCCGACGCCAGCGAACACATCAAACACGGTGTCATCACGTTTGATGAGCTGCACCACACGCTGGTGCTCCGTGCTCAGCCGAGGATTCCAGTACACACGGGAGAAATCAAACTCGTATGTCACCCCGTTTTCTTTCACCTGCAGCACAGATGAAGATTATCTCAATGATGTGAATATATGTGAGACTGACTACCAGCGGATGGTGCCATGTAAGTATCTGTGTATCATTAATGTGAAATAAATGCACACTTGTGATTTAACCTACTTTGGCGACCATGTTCTCCTCTCCAGCTAGCACCTCCATCTTGAAGTTGCGGTAAGTGGAGTTGATCACGTTTGTCTTATTGACCACACAGGTAATACCGGGGTTTTTGTCCATGATGACTTGACCTACAATGAAAGTAGCCTGGAGGTTAGCAATGGATATGATTGACTAACTCTGAAATCTTGTCTTTGTTCAACCGTGGTCACTAAAATTACACATTTAGACACATTTAGGGAGGAAGGGAAAAAAAATAAAAACAGAACGTAGTAGTTGTGTTAATAAAGGAAGTAATAATACAAATATGTAATGCAGCTGCAGCTCTCTCTGTCATTTTGCACAATTTATGTGCAATTGGATATCAGGAAGTTTTCTGAGGATGCTGATAAAAAGTGTTTCCGCCCAAAACCAGACTGGAGGGCACGGATATAAATATCAACATTTCTTCCTCTAAAGAATTACTCACACGAGTTAATGTGACAGTACAAACTGTAAATAAATGGGTGGAGAAACATCTGTATGAACCCCTTCTGTTGCAACACCTGCCTCTCACCTATGAGGTTCTTGTACGGGAGCTGGTGGTCCCTCAGGTTCATGTGTGCGATGTGTCCCACCCGGCTGAACGAAGAGGTCACATCCTGACCCTGGGGGAGCACAGCCTCCAGCACTTCCTCGCTCTTCAGGTTGTGATAGGTGAGCTGCAGATCGTAGTGCTGCAGCTCCTGAGCGACACCGAACGCCCTCAGAGCCTCAGCCTCAGCTTCACTGAAGGAGCTTGGCGAGGACACTTTGTGGGGGTCCAACAGGACTAAACGAAAGTCACTACTCCCCTCTTCATCCTGCACCACTCTGGGCACCCCTGGGCGCTGGATGGACGACTTTTTCAGGCTCTTTACCACTTTGTTTAAGACTCCAGCGGGCACCCGTAGAGCTGGGACAGTGATAGTCTGTGTGAAGGCTTCTTTGTCCAGACAGGTCATACCCCGGACCTCTGGAGGGGGTCGGTACAATTCAGGCTCCATTGTGTTCACAGCTAGGCCAGAACCAAGCAGGGCTGGCCGTGAGGCTGCAGAACAGAGGCTCCGGTGCACAGCGGCCGCCTTTACGTTTCTTTGAGTTTGTGAAGATGCTAAGACTCTGAGAAGAATCCTGAAATGACAGAAAGGCTGCTGTTATGAGGCACAAAACGCATCGCAACTGTGAACTGGGAGCTAAATGTAACAAAACGACGCGACCAAAGGCTAAATAAATACTAATTATGCGCCTATTTTGGAGAAAATTCACATTCCGAGCTCACCTCAACATCCTCCGTCCTCCAGCACGCTTCAATGCGTCATCCACGGTCGACAAGAGCGGACTGGTGATTGGTCGAAGGAGCGGAGAGTCGATTGCTGATTGGGCAGTCTCCGCTCTGACGTGTCAAACGCGACGGAAGAGAGGGGCACGTGACGCACAGTGATCAATAACAACAGAGATCAGCTGATGGGCGAGTTAAGCAGCAGAGTTTAAAAGTGATTAAACAGAAGATGGTTTCATAACTGCGCAGGTTGGAGCAGCGGGAGTTTTTTTTTTTTGTAGTTTGTGTCGAGAGTTTCGTCGAGAGTAGAAAATGAGCATCAATGGAAATATTAACACAGATCTATATCGTGAATGTGCAGCCGGGGACCGCGCAGGCTGCGAAACAACGCCTTTATTAACTAATGTAAGTGTTAAAAACAGCATTATGTGTTAGACAACTAAGAAACAGTGCTTCGGTATCAATGTGTGAACTTCAGGAATAAGCAGCAGTGACTTTTACCTGCACAGGAAAACTGTGTGACGTCTACGTGCTTGGAATGACAGACATCACGTGCTTATTCTGGAAAACTTCTCAGCATTTTCTGTTTCCTCTCAGCTTTCTGCCTCTGTCAGCACTTACAGTCCACCCGAAAGCAGAAATTACAGTGTGGTGTAGTTTATATTGATTTCATATATAAAGAAGAGGTTCACTGATTTACACAGGACATTCAGTCTGCTCCTGATGATTAGTGTCACAAACAGTTGCATTATGTTCTGGTGCTCTGGAAGAAGTCTGCACACTTTATCCCTTCATTTTATTTGGTTTAAACTTCATTGTTTTGCTTAAAAAATGTCAGATTTAAAGTTATTGAGTCCATCAGAAGCAGCCTTAAAATGCAAACTATGAGTTATTTTTCTCTTCTTGTAGAATATAAATTCCTCAATTATAAAAGAACATTTCTAAATTCTCAACAGCAATACAGACCTATAACCTTGGTGCTACAGCCTTGATCAAAACACATATCGATGGTGATGAACACTACACTACCAAATTATACTGTCTGTTTTGGTTCGAGGTTTTATTTTAGTCTTCTTGAGCATTGAAAGTGTTTCCATATTGTAATGAAGTCTCTGTCAGCGTGGACAGTTGGAGCTCTTGATTGTGAGAGACACTGGCCTGTTGTCGGTCTCTATGATGTTGAACAAAGGAGTAAATGAGTAAATGTATATAAATTCTATTTTGGGGTGGATTTTGTCTTTAATGTTTTATTAATCTAATCCAGGCAATTGCATATTAGTGCAGAAGCAACGAAATGTGGATCTGTGTAGTGTCTTTGGGTTCATCAGTAGTAATCAGTGTAGGTGGATGCCAGTAATCCCAGTTCATAAGCATATTTATCAATCCATGTCAGTCATTTATTGGTTTCCTCTGAGCAGAAATACACACTTACATACACAGGAAGAGGTAACAGTAGAAATAGACACGCACTTAATTTAATGAGCCATTGTTAAGATACTTAATTAAACTAATTATGGTAAAACATGTCTCAAATGACTTTACAGCAAACGCATCATCTAGATTAATACTCTATTTTTACTCTATTAGTTTGTGTCATATCACATTATTTATCAATTTAATCTGCTGCTTTTATTATTTTACATTGTAGCCAGTCTTTATTTCCATCTGGTGTCATAGTTTACTTCCTGTCTTTCAGTACTGTAACCCAGGGTGAATCAGATTCAGCGGCCCGCAGGTCAATCCGAGCTTGTTGTGACACTGACACCAGAGTTGCCACTCGTTCTCTCCAGGATATCCCCTATTAGAGAGGTCAAGCAGTTTGGGCAGCTCCCCTTATCCTGAGCTCAGGCAGCTGTCCCACAGCCAGCAGCTCAAATCCCACCCCATCCATTCCCATTTCCATTCCCTGATCCTACATGCCACTGCAGTGTTGTTTCATGACATCCATCATCAGGGCCGGCCAGTTGTTCTTAATACTGTCAGGAGCAATTCTCTTAAAGCTCTTACAAAAATAATCAGATGTCTTCTGCTCCTTTGTCTTCACACTCATTGTTTACCTCTTTATCTTTTATCTAAATGTTATCTCTGCTGTGTGTGTGCAGGGACCAGTGCAGACCAGAGCCAAAGGAGCCTCCTTCGCCTCCTCTGTGTTTAACCTGATAAATGCCATCATGGGCAGCGGTATACTGGGTCTAGCTTATGCCATGGCTAGTACTGGAATAGTTGGGTTTTGGTGAGAATCCTGTTGTGCTATGTGTCATTGAACGTATTTCATTTTGATGCAAATCCAAATGAGCAAATAAAGTCTGTCTAAGTCTCTCTAAGAATGCTTACATTACATCTTCTACCACAGTGCTGTTGAAATATCTGTCACCTTTTTAAATACATGCAACATAAATACAACTACATGTTCAACAATTCCTGCTCTGTGTACCTTTCCTCTCTAGTATCCTGTTGATAGTAGTGTCCACCCTGGCAGCGTATTCTATACATCTCCTTCTGACGCTATGTGACCAAACAGGTGAGTGATTAACAATGGATATAACAGTCTAACTTTAGATAAGCACATCCCTGAGTGTTTATCCAGGGGGTTTCAACCAGATTTATTTACCCACACCATTGACTGTCCCCCTTACTCCCCTTGTGATTAGATCATTGATCAGGGAACCCAGATAATATGTTGTCTAAGCTAATGTTATCTCTTTGTATCTTTGTTTTTGTCTTCTTTTACTTCCTAGGAGTGATTGAATCAACCAATCAGGACAATTTAAAAAACAGGTCACTATATTTACACATTAAAGTGTGTTTTCTGTTTTTTGGTTGTACCACTGCATATGCTTTTAAAGCCTTTTATAGCTCAAGAGTCCAAAGTCTGATAAATTGCCTCAAGTGATGTCACTTGAGTCGGCATTGCTTGGAGCTGAAGACTACAAATTAGAAAAAAACAAAACAATCTGGAGGTGTGGGGTTAGAAAGAAGTGACGTTACCAGACCTCTGTAGCCCTCTCCTCATCTCTGTTGCAGGCTAGCAACTCAATTAGCATCCAACTCAAACTCAAATCTCTGACTGAACTGTTGGCAGTTGAGTTGCATTGTGGGTAATGTAGGCACTAGTTTTTGACAAGAAGAATGCATGGACTAAAACAGATTATTTCTGGTTCTGCTGCCTCAATTTAGACCCTTTTTGTTTTAATCTGTCCATTGTAAGTCCGACAATGTTATAGGAGTGCAATGCTAAATCAGTAGAGTTCTCTTTAAGTAGCTGAGTAAGTCTGATTTTGTTTTTGATCCAACTCTCATAGGTATCAATTCATATGAAGACCTTGGAGGTAGAGCCTTGCAAAAGCCAGGAAAAGTAAGTGTTGCCTTTTGGTTTCGTGTGAGTTCGGCCTGTCAAAAAAGGAATTCACTCACTTATATTTTCAACACGACCAGGAAACATATTCACACTAACCGCCTTTTCAAAATTCTTTGTAGGTTATGGTTGGAATTGCTATCGTCATCCAAAATATTGGTGGTAAGTCAGCCACCATTTCACTGTACAGTTACATACATTATTTTTGACATGTTGGACATAAACCGATTTTGTGGTTTTTTAGAAGCAGAGTGGTGAAGAGGGTGCAGAGTGCTGCAGGGTCAGACTATGGCCAGTTTATTTCGGAGGCAGATAGTGCCTCCTGCTGGTGCTCAGAAGCCTCTGTGTTGGATGTTTACTCCCTCCTTCCTGTAAGGCTATTATCTAGATTCCCTGATAACCTTTGACTCTTTAGCTGCTGTCCTCTCAGCCCCCTCCCACGGGCCTGAAACCTGACTTCTTGTCTAATTGATCACTGATGGTAAACCCACCCAGTGTTGAGTAACCTAATGGGACCCCTCCCCACTTCTCTTTCTATGCTACTGCCATCTCCTCAGCCACAAACTGCGCTCCTCAGACAGCGGAGAGCTGAGGTGATAGCTCCTCTGCAGTCATTAGTGGCACGGCTGAGTGGATTATTGCCGTGCCCTCTGGTATGTTTGTGGTTTTCCCAGCATGGGGCAGTATGTGTGAGAGTGTGAGAGCCAGCACTCCAGCATGCATCTGTCTACACCCCGGGCCCCTTTTATAAGAGTGCAATTAGCCTCTCTCTGGGTAAACATTCATCTGCACTGCCAAAGCCTGATGGGCCAATTGACCTTAATTACTGACCAGCCCAGGGCTCTCTCAGCCTGCCTCTCCCCTCACTCTTAATGAAATGAAAGTGGCTCTGTCTTATGTTGGACACACTCTCCCACTGTTTGGTGACCACACACAGAAGGTTTACATTAAATTTCCAATGAATTTTTACGTGCATGCTTATTATTAGAATATGTTTTCCTACTACTTGGGCAATAACAATCCTTTTTCTTCACTCAAGGGCCTTTTTTGTTTAGCGATGTAAGTATTTTACCACCACGAATTCCCATGCAAGTGTTGTGCTTACAGTGACCAACTGCATGCAACTAAACCATTGCATCATGCCTGTTGTGTGATCCCTGTCAGTGTGTCTGTATGGGTTTGTGTGGTTCAAAAGAGTTTTGTTTTTATGGTTCTTTTTAAATTTTTGGACAGACTTTCACAGGGAAACTTTTTGGCTAAAACACTAAAGCGACTGCTGCCTCAGAATAATCTCTTATTGACAGATTTTAGTGCTTATAAATGGCAGTTTTTCCACAGAGTGTCCTTGCGTCTGTGTGGGCTGGAGGGTTATTGGAGGAATTTTCTTTTATAAACAAAGACAGGATCTGAGGGATTATGGACTAGGCTTATTTAACGGCTAGTGCAAGACCTGCCCCTGGGGCAATAAGGTCCCAGCTAACTCTGGCTCTGCCTCGCTTCACAAATTTAAATCCCTTAACATTCTCTCCCTTTATGACTGACCACACACTGCATCTGAATCCTGATTCAACCAGAAACATCCTCTCCACCTGGTGCAATCTCCATCTCTCCTTTCCCCATTTTCCTCCTGGTGTTTCGGTGGGGGGGGGGGCTGGTATGACCCTCGGGAAGTGACCCCGATCCCCTCTCTGATTGGCTGTCTGTGGAAGGCTGTCAGAGCCCGTCGGAGGCTGATAATATCCTGTTTCCTAGTGAGGTGGAGCAGGGGAAGAAATACCTGGATTAGCGTCAGAGATCATTATTGTTAGCATTCCTCCCCCCTTCGCACTTCTTCATCCCGGCTGCTACTCCCGGTCTCCAGCAGTTGGAAGATCTGCATATTGTCTGCTCCTCCGCACCAAGGGCTTTGCTAGTGATCCCCCTTGAGCTGCCTGCCCCACCCATCTGCATTAACTCAGAGCTGTGGTACCCCCTCCGCCCTGCCTTCCATTTCCTTGCGCTGGAAAACACACACCACCCTCGCACAGCAACTTAGGATTGCTTGTGGCGACATACAGTCATCTGCTATGTTTATGATGTAGTAGTTTGGTATGATTATGTGCTTTTTTGTTTATTTGATTTATAGAAAACACATTTTCTGAAGCCTTTTTTTCTTTTCTTCCCTCAGCCATGTCATCCTATTTGTTCATCTTGAAGTCGGAGCTTCCTGCAGCCATCGACAGCTTCTTGAGCGCAGACAGCACAGGGTGGGTATATACAGCACAGTGAGCTCCCTCTCTCACCAGTAAGGAAATTTGGTACAAAATCTGTCACAGCTGCGGGTAAAACCAAGCCATTCTTTTAGATTAGATGCACTAAGATAACGAATGAGTCATTCCTGTTCCCATGATGTTGCAGATTATACCTTTGGCCTTCAAATAAGTCAAATTTGACACTTTTGCACCACAAAGCTACACAAACTGGAATTTGTAGGGTAATGAGAAACGTATGAATAATGCGGTAGAAGAAGATCTCTCACCAAACCACAGTACACTACTAATACTTTGTCTGCGAGCCATTGAAGGGTTACTCGTGCTCTGTGTTGTATAGCCCGAAGCATGCCCAGAGGAAATGTATTTACGATAGAGAGCCATTCATCACCCATCATCAGCAGCCTGTGTCTTTCATTGGCCTACGTGGACGAGCCTGCAGCTCCTCGCCCTCACAGAGAGCTCCCAGGCCAAGAATGTAACTTCTATCACTTTATTATTGGCCACACTGGTTTAAGCAAGAGTTGTAGCTGCTCTCAGCCCAATCCGTCAACATCTGAATCTTCCACACACAGCTGCTTTGTATTAGTGCTCTCCTTTCACCCCCAAATCTCTCGCACATGTTCCCCGGAATCAGACTGATACAAGGGGATATCAGTTTTGCCATTCTAATTACAGCTCACTGCTGAGGGAAACAAAACATTTCTGTTAATGAGTGGCTTTGGGATGTTAACAGACACATACTCAATTCCATCAAAGCCTAAATAAACGAGTTGTTTTATATTAAAACGTGTTTCTTTTTTCTGGCTCATTTATCATAATATAGCAGAGTGAAAACACAGTTGTGCTCAATCTTTTTGGTCTTTGTCTGCGTTAATGGACTGTGTGTCCTGTTTTAAGTTTTTCTCATTATGTTTCAGTTCAGTATCAAGGCCAAAGACATGGACAGCTGTGGATTTGGGTTTGCACTGTGTTGGCCAGATTTATGCTGATCTTAAACACTGTGGAGATTGACTCATTGGCAGTCAAACTCCAGCCTTAACTGAGAGCTATCCTGCATCTTGTTATAGCGTGAAATGTTCCACATTTCATGGGTTGTCTAGGTATCCTGCGCCTTTACAGTAAGCCTCAAGCCAAATCCTAGTGGTGGTGGAGATTTTTTTTTTTACCTCCCTGTGCCCGTATTACGGCCTGTAAAAGTGGGGAAGGGGGTTAACTAAGCTGTGGTCGAGTGCTTCAGCTAAACTTAGGTTAGAGTAGAAGTGATTGGACAAGAGAGAGTCCAGGGTCAGAGCAGAGGTCTCCCTGACATCCAGTTACAGGGCAGAAACAGCGTAGACGCAGAGACAAATCCATCAGCGCCTATGGTAACGCCACAGCTGTGAAACTGCCAAACAGGGGTCAGTGGGTGTTGATGTGGTCAGAGCAGGTGCTGCTGACTGTGGGAGCCCCATAAAGAGTGGTGGAGCCAGTCCCTCATGACCCCACGCTGCGGTCCAGCATACAGCAGCACCCTTCCCACCCGACCCCGACCCCAGTAGAGCCGGCATGCCTTCCACATGTGTCACTTCGAACAGTGCCCCCCACCCCCCTT